GGGCAATTGATAGATTCCTTCTGCAAGTACGCCTTTGAGTCGAACACAGCACGGGGGGTGTGGGGGGGTTTCAGCAATCCCAATTGTGATATCGGTGGAGTCATTTCTATGGCTTTGGAATAAATCAGTTTGCCTTCCTAATGTGTGCTTGAAAAGCCATCTACATTTTTAAAGATGCCAGAACCAAGAACCAGAAACAGTGAAAATTTTGACTTGAGAAAGAGCTAAATATCCTTTCCAGGAAATGTCTGGCCTCATGTACATCACACATAAAGCTCTGTGCTGTTGGGGGAGGGGTGAAATATGGCTGCCAGCTCCATAGGAACATGCAGATGTGGGCTTACACTGTCGGTGGGAGGGAGAGAGACTGTGGTGATTTATTTCCCAAGTGCTTGAGTTAGTTTTGGTCGATGTGAACTGCAGTTTCTCCATTTTCCATCTGCACCCTTCTTTCTCGCTATTTTCCGTTCTCATTTTCTTCCCCTTATGACTGTTTTTTTGTCTTTCAAGCATTTTTTTTTTATAGATACCGTTTCCCTGAAGGCAAAGCTTTGTGACAAACCTCAACTCCCCATGCAGATCTTAGGCAAAAGGATCAGTAATATTGCAGTCAGATACCAATCCTATATCTGAACAATTGCAACTTGAAACTGAAAGCTAAATATTCTGATAACAATTGCAACACTATCCAGCCAAACCAAAAAAAAGTTCTGCTTCCACCTTTTCAACATCAACGAATTATTCTTGAAAAAGGAATGTTGACCCTGATCTAGTTCTCTCTGCCAAGTGTTACCTGGCATTATCCAAGGGGGTATTACTCATTGGTTTAGAGCAATCCAAACAGTCCTTCAGTTTTTATAATGCTCCACTGCCGTTATACTGTATGATATCCAAAGTCGCCCGTTTCAGACTCAAACAGGCCTTTGTCTGGCTAATTACAGAGGCAGCTGTACGGCCCCTTAACCAGAGACTGGGAGTTACAGCACGGACAAAACCAGTGGGGAAACCTGTGGCTGAGGCTGCTGCCTTTCATTGCTTGAGTGAAAATACAGAAACATCCAAAAGGAAGAGCGCTAAAATTAAAGTATTCATAACAGTAACGTTTGAGGTCGAAGGCCTAACATATTTTTTTCCATTACCTTTGCCAAAAGAACTTCAAATTTCCTTCATCGTGCTTTATCATCTTCTTTGATAGCAACATAATCATTCAACGATGCCAAGCTACGCTCGAACACGTTTGCTGCCAACATTCGGCACTAAGCATCGACGCTAAAAACGGATCTTTGTAGGATGTCAAATATGTCACAGTCCCATAAAGACTGAAAACCTGAAAAACAGTTGATTCTGCAAACGCCTTTACAGCATCCGTCGACATTTCTCGGATGTTCAGCATTACCGAAGTTTCCTAGCGGTCTAATCCCACCCATCCCGAGCAACATCACATCATCCTCCAAAAATGCCTGGGTGTAGAGGAATGTTCTGGAGCCGGCTGGCTGTCCGGCCTGATCAGCTGGCTCACTGGGAGTCATTCTCAGGGAGTCATGAACTCTTGTCCCGCCACTGCTCCCTCGCTGGCTGCGCGAGAGGACTTGGGCGACACCAAACAGGAAGCGCTCAACAAGTGGAGGCTATGGATGTTTATCTCGCGCCATTCATCAAGCCCCAAAACCAGGAGACAGGAGTCGCGATCCGGGGCGAGAGAAACAAGGCTGTCCTGACTCGGAGCCGCGTGCAGCCACTTTTATTGTGCCATTGTGGGTACGAGTGGAGAGGCGACTGGGAGGGTTTCCGACCCCCCGCTGGCTGGCTCCTTTCATCCTTCTTCACAGTCCTCGTGGAGCCTGGCTTCGAGTCCATACCCCTGGTGCCAAGTGGGGCCACTAGAACAGTCAGTATTTTAAGTATACGGTAGATGGAGGTAGGATAACTGCGCTAAGGGACTGAGACGGAATCGAGATCAGGTTCCCCCCCCGCACTAAGGTTGACCTTAAACCACGACAAGTTGGTGAATGTGGTCCAAACCACTACTATAAAAAAACAACAACTCCAGATCAGCATAGAGAACAGAGAGAAAGAAAATCTGCTCTCTGGACGCCAGCCAAGTCACGTGGTTGAGTCCTTAGCAGGAAGAAGCATGAGCCGTACCAAATCCATACAATGAACAGCTATTATAGCAGGCTGTATGAGTCCCCGCCAAACAATGAGACCGATACAGAACTGAAGGCTCCAGGAAAGATATGAAATATCAACCTTGAAGCCAGGACACATAATTTAGTAAAAGATCTGGACATTTTACAGCTGTCAACTGCATCCAGTGAACATGCTACAGCAAACAGGCTTCATCCTTGGTTTTTAATGGCATTATTTCTGTCGGCATTTGCAATACAAAAACCCGTTGAAAACTCTACACGGATCATCTTGAAGTTGCTGCATACACCAAAGACTGTGTGAATCTTTAGTTTGGCAAGCCAGTTAGAGAACAGGCTCCAAAGAGGAAGACTAAAAAGAGAAAACTGAAAACGTGTACAAAGTAAGCGCTCACTTCAACATTCAGTCCTGAAGCTGTGGTCGCAAACTTTGCTAATTGTGCGTTTTCTCCCCGATGCTGGCGGATAATCGCCGATCGCATGGCCGTAGTCCACGCTTCAGTCATGAGACCAAGGTGAAATAACCGGAAAGGTTGCGTTGATGTTACTCCACCGTATCGCAGGTCAAGCGTTACTGCTCCAAAAGGTCAATTGGGGTAGTTGAGGTATAGTTTCGCTTCGCACTAAAACCAGACCACAGACAGGATGTAGTGTGGGAACTACATGCATGCCTGAATGCACGCCGGGTTGATGCGCCTACGCCAGCCACCACGGTGACCCAGTCCAAGGTTATCAGCTACCAGGACATTAGGTATGATCACGCTTTACTAAATCCCTCTATGAAAGTTGAAACAGCTGACACAGCAGAAATCCTGACTGAATGGATGAGCCTGTTTGTTGCATGGCTGAGCGGTGAATCACTTTGCTAAGCAGGCCAGATCCCTGCGCAGGAAACGGTGGTGGGGAAAGGGAGGAGGAGGGGGGGTACACTTCCATCCAGACTCTACCTCCACAAAGATATTGCCGCGTGAAGTAAAAAAAAAAAGTCTATTTTTCCCCGTCCCCCCCCTCTGCCGACCAACACCTGAGGTTCTGCTGACTGGACACAATCGTGGGGACGACTGTCGACGGCTAAGCCGGGATCGGAGAGCCTCAGCTGGGGAAAGTTGGTCCAGGATGAGCGGCCTTTGTGAAGAGGTTCAACATTGTTGTGCATATTTTAGAACGAGGAGTGAGGCGGGGATGGACTGGACAGCGCAGAAGGCCCAGAGTCATATTTTCCGTGGATTTCAAGCCATGTACATGAAACAGCTGAGGCAGTACACTGCATCTTGGCAGTCTTTGATAGAAGAAATGTGGATAAACGGGCCGGATATGTAAAATCACAAAAAAGCATGTACAGTTTGCCATAAATTAGATGGATTTGCTATTTTGTTGGAGTGCATGGCGTCGCTAAACGAACGCACTTGTTATGAAATGACACGCGGTGAAGATTATCAGCCCCCGCTCGCCATGAGCGTACCGCACCCACTGACTTTCATCCAAGCCGTTTCCTGCTACAGATTCTTGCAACTATGCCAACATGTTACAGGATCCATGTAAATGTGCGTAGTGATGAGATTTTCTGCCCTGCAGACCAGAGCTGTTCATAACTAGCTAGTGAGAATCAGCAGACCTCGTCAAGAAGAACAACATTACCGTTCTCCTCTGGAATGTCAGACAACATGGAACCAAAGGACGGCGGGCTCAACGCGAATAGCTCCTCCACTGTCACTTCTAGTTCAACACAGGTTTGTTTTTCACTATGTATTTCCTTTTTTTTTACTGCACCATCTCAGACTAAAATGTAGCTCTGAGAGACCTGAACGTTTAGATCCTGGAGGCTGACGAGTGAGCGTTTGCTTAAATCCGCCTCTTTTTATTTAGCCAAAAGGTAATTAACAAGAGGTTAGAACAACAGCAACGTGCGGATGCACACGGGAGCCATTTCATTATTCCAACAGGCTTTATGCACCATTAATCCCACACTACTATAGAGCACACAGGCATGAGGTCAAAGAAGACAATGACTGAGTAAGAGGTTCACAGCACCGGCAACTTCTGCACATATGTTTAGAAATACCGATTTTTTTTAAGTTATCCACTAATTTTGTTATAATTTCCAAAGGTTATTAGTGCCACTTGCTGCTTTAACCCTCCGGGTTGTGGTGGTGGTATTAGCAGTCTGGCAGACAAAACTACTTCATTTAAAAAAAAGGCCCAAAATCTGTGGTGATGGAGTTTTACAAAGCATGTTATTATATTGAACCACGTTAAAATACAAAAATGAAAACCCTCGTTCTCGAGGCTGTTGCAAAGAGGCCGACGCAAACCACGATCGGGACGGGCCCTGTCATTTAAAGTGCAAACAAACATTACGATTAAAGCTGGCGCTTTGGATTTGCACTCTGGATATTTTCACACAACCACATATGAGATGATGCCTCGGTCGCTTCGTAAGATGAGGCTACACTCCAGAGTCCTTACGGCATTTCCCGTGTCATGGAAAAAGAAGTAGGCCCACCATCATACGGGCAAAGCAAGAACACAGAGTACTGTGTGTTCTTTGTTTGTGTGGGCACACAAGCTCGTGTCCGTGCACTTGCACCATGCAAGTCCGCTAACAATAAACCCACGATGCAAATGACTGCCGCTGCAACGCCGTGTCCTGCAACCGGCGGAGGGATCGGAGCTGTGGTGTGCATGCTTCTGCGGCGTTTGACTCATTTTGGCGCGGAAGGCCCAGATGAAACAGATGAACGTGGTAGAGGGTGGCAAAAACACATAACGGTGCGCCACGTGGGTCCTCCTCTTGCCTTCTGTGTTCCTCATTAAGTTTGAAAACAAGCAAAGTTATGTAGGTGTGGGGCTTACCTTCTGGTCCACTATGGAGCACACCAGGTCCTTGACAGCGGACAGCGAAAGGTCCCCGGTCTCCAGGTTCACGGTCTCTCTGGTCAGTCCTATCTGAAGCAGGAAGGACACCCCATGGAAAGAGTTGGTGGGGCTGGGGACGCTGTGACCGCCGTTGGACAATCGCGCGTACAGCGGCCCGGACGACGAGGGCGGTTGGTGCGGATGGAGAGAGTGGAGGATGGCTCGAGGTAAGGATGGGGGAGAGTAGGCAGACATTGGGTTTTCCTCCAATGGCAACGAGGAGCGCTGAATGGTGGGGGTGTTTTTTAGTGAGGGCTGGCAGAAGGCAACACAGCTGCCTCTTGACAGGGGGAGCCTGAGGTCCTCATCAGGGTTAGTGAGTCAGCACCGGGAGAGTTCTTTCATCAAAGCGACATTGTCTCTCATAAATGAAGCGCTTCCGCCCGCCCGAGCTTATACGACACTCATTCACAAGACGGGCAGGTGACGGAGGAGAAAGTCTGGGAGGAATTTGCAGATTTCTGCAAGAAAAAAGGACTGCCGCAAGCTTCATATCCTGGAGTGGCGCTCCTTCTCCTTACGGAAGTTAGTGATCCACTCTGACCACAGGAAGCCTGTCACCACAAACACACATACGGAGACAAACACGCACTTTTTTTTTACAACCCAAAAAGCATTCACCTGTCTGAAAAACAGCAGAGACCTGTGAAGGACTGGAGCGCATTAGAGAAGCTCTCCTCCTTGCAGGGCGAAGCAGCCCGGCTGTATGAATGAAAGCTTCTTTAGGGAAGCATGTTTCAGCCAATCGACCCATTTCAATTAAGAGTGAGCCAGGCTATTTTCCTTTGTTAGAATTCATTCTTAAACAGAGCACAGATTATCTCTTAGATGACGACTCTCTGTGTGTTGGTTAAAAGGGCTGGCCGGGGTTAGCTTCGAGCTAACTCATACTCCCTTCGTGGAAATGCACGGTGCTTGAGGAGAGACGGCTTGAACTTTTCTACTCCTCTAAGCAACAACGGCCCTTCGTGCTCGTGCGTAAAACAACAACCCCGCACGGCCCAAACGGCGCGTAAAAGTTTGATAAAGCGCATCATGTCGGTGTTTACAAGAATTCAAAGTGCACAAACATCTGGAACCGGGGGTTCCTAACATCTGCACCCCCTCCCACTTTCGATAGGCTCGCTGGCAGGAACGCAACCCGAGACTAGAATGCCAGCAAAACAAGTTATACAAGCCGTGGATTCACACGTTCACAGCACTTCGTAGCAGTTGTACGTGTGGTCTTCACGTGGAAGCCCGATCGGAAGCAAACGTCGCCTTAAGGGCATCTGATGTGTGACTTTACCTTCACAGCCGGCGACGGGCGCTTTTCTTTCCATTGTGAGCTGACTGAAGGAACTTTGTGACTCCATCAACGGAGGAAAGCGAAGCGGTCCGAAGTTGAAAACGCTGCGCGCACACAGAAGCGCAACTTTACACGGAACCACCGAGGACACAAGTTGCACTCGCGGGCGCGCGCGGACAAACCGTGTCGTGCATTTGTTTTTCTCTTTATCTTTTATTCCAGATTGTGAATTCATGCGCATCTTATTATCCTCCCAGCTGTGTCTACTCCCCCCCCTCCCGGCGAGAAAGAGGAGCCCCAGCCGTCTCTGGGGGATGGAGTCTTTTTATTGTCTCCGCGTAGCTGACTTTGCATGCGCGGGGAGGACAACTTGGACTACAGTCCCTGGGAAGCAATGGCGCCTCCGATGGAGCGCAGACCAATGCGCATGTGCGTTTTCTTTTCCGTTATTTCAACTTGGCCATGCCGAGAGGGGGGGAAAAAACTTCTACATAACCGGGGTCGGTTTGTTACAAACTGGGATCCAGGCGCCCCTCGGGAGCCACAGAGATGGTTGCTGTGACCCCATCAATAATAATGAATGGACGGGTTTTCCTTTACTTTAACCGACAACAAAAAGTAAAAGTATCTAGTCGGTTGTCTGTCAAAACCGGTAAAACAACCAGCAGAGGGAAAATAAGGATGTGCAGGGTTACGTCTGCTTATTAATGGAGCTATCAGGTGCACTTATTCTAAACGCCAGCGGATGTTTTTCGATGAAGAGATCTACACATTACATTACACAACACCTTTTAGGAGCCGGTTCATTGTTACACGCTTTGTAAGACAGTAAGTATCATAGCTGAAAATACGAAAACAAGTAAACAATGAAGAAAAACAACTTTATTGATATAGAAAATGGTTTAAAATAGATTAATATTGTGGAAATGTAGGGTCTATTCTCTTTGCCCAAGCCATGAGGCCTCCGCTGATGTCTTTCACCGAGACACTGTCCACTTCTGATCCACTCATCTTCTCCACAACCTGCACCGCCTTCTGAGAGTCGTTACCCAGCTTACAGATCACATACACTGGAGGAACCAGCAGAGGACACACAAGTTAGTTCGGTGACAGCGGTGGATTAAAACACGTGATATGCGTCAGATACTTATTATTGACTGATAGCACAGAGAAACATCTAAAGTGACAAAAAGCTGCACAATAGTTAGAATATTAAAGAGAGCTGCATTAAATACCGCTCTAAATTTAGCTCATTGATAAAGAAAGCTCAACAAAGTGAATATCCAGAACATCACAAAAATAACATTTTGCATATATTCACTTCTCTAAAGGCAGGCCAGCTGCTTGGGTTGACCGTACGTGTTTTGGAAAAAGGGGTTACCTAGCAACCCCATTACAACCCGTTACTAGCTGTCCAAAGTAAGCCAGCAGTATGAGACCACACGGTGGCCCGTGAATATGCACGAGTGGCTCTACGTGCCCGTCCATTTTTAAACAACATGTGCGGACCCAAAGCGCGGCTCGGGGATGTTACCTGCAGGCCGGCGGTCACCCTCCATCTGCTGCTTCAGCTGGCCGATTCTCTCCCGGAGTAATCGGAGATGTTCGCTCTTCCTCTCCTCTAAGCCTGCCAGGGGAATGTCTGGCAACAATATAAGGGGAATAGTCCCACCGGGATTGGAAATAGGAGGTTGGTGTTGTGCTTCGGTCTCCAAAAAGGATACTGAGAGAGAGCGGCAAGCGGCATATGTCCACCTCCACAAGAGGGCGCACGTCCAACAATAGATGGGGCTCTGCATTGTCCATTATTGATTTATAATCCTGGAATGACATCAAAGCAGGAAAATAACTCCTTTAGAGGGAGGTGGAGCTTCCTCTTTCCAGAAAATACATGATATCTATAAAACAGGATAACCACAGATGCTCTCAGCCAAAGTTGAAATGTTGCCTGGAGTAATATGAACATTTGAACTGCTTTTTCCTTAAATCAAAAGGAAACAAAACTGCTTTTTTTGGGGCGGGGGGTGGGGGGGGTTAATGGAGCCCCTCACACAAATCTCGATTGCAGCCCAATCAATCATGATCCCGATCTCGGAGCTTAATGACTCCGCTGGTTTCAAAGCACCAGTTCTCCAGAAAGTTGACGCAACCCACTCCCACTGCTCCCTCCAACAAATACAACGTGTTATTCTTTCCCATAGAAAATCCACAGGCACATTTCAAGTCATTTCCCATCTGGGGCTGGGTCAGCGCTGAGATGTAATCAGTTTATGAACACACATGAAAACTGTGGAGAAAATTGTGGGTAATCATACAATAAACGCCACTAAATGCAGGGGAGTCACGCGACGGGCAACTGTTCTGGACGATATACTTGCTCTACCTGCACCGAAATCCTCTGGTCTCTGGAAAGCAGGTTGAGTTTGCGGCACTGAAACACACGGAAAAATCCAGGCAATAAGAGATTTATTTTCCTATGATTACAGAACGATGACGGGTCACTTGTGACCAACCTTATCTGTGGCCGCACACCCACAGAAAGCCTGGTAGTCCACCAGCCGGGTCACACTGGGCTTCTCTCCGCACACCGCACAGCCCGCCTGCTTGGGCCGCAGCTTGATGGACCGGAATCGGGCTTCTTGGGCGTCAAACATCACCAGCTGCTGGCCGCAGGAAGCTGACACGAAGGGGGAACGGGGGTCAAGGAAACGGCAACAATGGGAAGTCGCATCACCGACGGCGCTGCACGATCCTGACGGGTCGGCTGTGCCACGGCTCTCGCACTCTGTGCGATTCGACAAGAGCGCTCATGGGCCCATGCGGAGGAGAAATCATCAGAGTCCATTCGGTTTTTGCTTTATTCCAATGCGACGGGCAGAGAACACCCGCCGCATGCCCAACGCCGCTACAGCGCCTCGGCAGATCTTCGTGGACTCGTCATGCAAAGCGACACTGTGTGTCATGTGTTCAGAATGGGAAAGCTGAAGGATACAGCCTTGTCCAGAGGCAATCTTGAGGACTTCCAACGCTTGGAAGCAGCCCATTATCCCCGGAACTTAAGAGGGAAAAAAGTTTTTACCAACAACAATCAATTACACAACTCATTACTGAACTCTGTAAAATATATATATATATATATATTTTTTTAAATCAATGGCTCCCTGGGGGCGAGTCTCACCCACTCCCAACACCCCTCCGTCGGAGCAGTTGGTCACCATCTCTGGGGGTGGGGGTACCGGGTACAGACACCTGTAGCAGGGGCCTCCGTGGTAGTTATATACCGTCAGCTGAAACACACACAGAGCGAGAGGCCTTTCACTCTACCAAAGTAAGATGAAAAATGTAAAAGGAGCCGCTGGACTCCGACCTTTCCGCCTCACCTGACCCTCCATCCTCAGGGCGCTCGCTGACACCAGGGGCTTACCCCCGAGCACGCACGCGTCATTCACCAGATAACGAGTGGGGACGTTGTCCGAGCAATCCGCCACGATGTCGTATATGAGGTCAGCCAAGTCAAGGGGTCACCAAGAACGTAGCTGGGGTGTCCCGGCAAAGCATTGGCGGGCGAACAGACGCGCGGTAGAGGATACTGCTGAATGAGCTGCGAGGCGTTTTCCGACGAGAGCTGCAGGTGGTACGGGATGCACTCCACTGTTGAGTTCAACCTGCATGTGTAAAGTCACATTCAACAATACAAATGAACAATTAAAGTAAGAGGCGGGGGGGGGGGTGCCGTCATGAGAAATGGTGCCCTCATGTGGTCGTGGCTCTACAATGTGACCACTGTGAGGTGGTGTCTCTGAAATAACATGTTTACACAATATTTGCAGACCGGGGAGAAAATACGCAACCGAATATAACCTGCGGTGAGACTGGAGAGCGCCGGCATTCATTTCACTGCGACTAAACGGTCACAAAATACACAGAAGTACAGCCCTTATCATAGTTACAGAGCATTTACTAATAATATCAAAATACTAGATTCTCTGTTTCGGGTCGGTTTTTTCGGCACTAATGTGTGCAGGATTTGCATTTCTCCATCCGTACCGTTTGACTGCATTGGCTGCAGACAGAGCCTTGGCTTGGTCCTGGTTCTCCTCGCCGTGAAGCACCTGTCTGTGCAGGTTACTGAGCTCCACCTCGTCATAGTCCAGCAGGCCCAGGCGCCCTGCAGACACGCACAGGGTACACATTCAACAGTGTGCCTTCAGCAAACTCCACTGGAACGCGTAGTTCTTATTTGTGTCCTTTTCTCAAATGTTGTACCGGTTTTCCTTCCAGTGGACAGATTGTTCTAGTTGGCTATGCAGGAAAAGTTGAGTTGAAACTCTACCTGAGGCAACTGTAGTCTAATTTTGCCCACAAAAGAAAAACATATTTACAAAATGAATTAAGTCTTAACCTGTGAATATGCTCTTGGCTTGTTCCATCCCAGCTGATTGAAATCATTAAACGGCACTAAAATGGGTAGTGTGATATATTTATTTAGTGAGTGGAAATGAATAATTATAGTTCAAAACCTCCACCACCAGCCAGCCGGGGGAGGTGAGCCAGATTGCTAATTTAAGACCCTGCGTGAAAAGGAAATTACCTTTTGATAGCTCAACAATTACTCACACCCACAGAGCACATTTATTTAAAAGGTTAACGGTATGATTTGTTTGGCACCACGTCATGCTTTGAGTTAATCGACTGGACGACCTACCGATGCCTGCTGCAGCAAGATACTGCGCCAGGGGGCAGCCCAGTCCTCCGCAGCCCACAATCAGCACGGAGGTGTTGGACAAATTCAGCTGACCTGTCGACAATCAAACGTGTTAAATACGGAATGCTTAGTACATCGGCGTGACGGCCGTAGTCATCCCTACCTTGTACGCCCAGCTCGGGCAGGAGGAGTTGTCTGCTGTACCTCATGATGTCCTCGTTGCTCAGGGCTGCTTTGGCTTTCAGGGGGCTCAGGGGGGTCACGGTCTCATGCAGCTGCAGTACTGAGGCATGGCTCTTGTACACCGGGGAGGAATTACACCATCAAGATATGAGCAGCACGTTTGAACCCGAAGCTAGGAGCCATGTGGCATCCGAGCCCTGATCAGCCCGGCTCTAGAATATCATGAGCTGCATTTATGGCTCTTTGAATACGTACACAGTACACGTGTCTGGCATCAGGCACTATTTGGGGAACACAGCTCTTCACATGCAGCAATCCAGTAAATTAGAGTGCTTATTTGTTTCTTGCATTCCAGACTAAGTGGATGTGCTTTATCTCTCTTGAGAATTTCCAAATATATTTTTGAATTTTTTTTTTTTACTTTCCAATTAATGGCGTGTAACTGCCGCATATCTGGCATTCATTCGTTTTTTTTCTAAATTCAAAGGCATCTGAACTGCATTTCATAGAACTGCATTCCAGGATCCAATTAACATAATCGTAGTACTTACGTTTAGTGCAATGTTAATAGATATTAAAATGGATATTTTATGATCCTCCCTGTAGTTGGACACAATTGTTTTGTGTTTTTCAGGGTTCATTTGTCTGAGATATTCTCTCAACTACAAATCGCATGCGTCCCGATTAGGACGTCCACGAGCCAGGTATCGAGTATGCAAGTTCAATTTAAGAAAAGGAGACAACTAAAGTATTACAAAGTAATGACCAGTATGTTCCATGTCAGATCAAATGCTGCATAGCTGACGTTACACCACGAATGCCGAACTGCAATGCAAGTGGAAGAACGTGTTTACAAATACACATTCATATGGTGTTTTTAGCGTGGCGAACAGTAAGTTAACGTTACCTTTTCCACTCGGGCCAGTTTATTCTGGAGAGCGGCGATCTCTTCCTCTTTCTGCTCGAGCTGAGCCTTCAAGCTGCGCACCTCGTCACTCATGGCTGCTCGGGAGGGTGTTCAAGTATTGGGGTTTTCACAAATATACTTTACAGCTCTGTTAGGTGACTTTGTGGTGCGAACGTGTTGGCATGTCGAGCAAAGGGCAGATACTTCCGGGTTAAGCACGTGACGGAGAACCACGTGGTAAGTGACGTACGGAGCGCTGATATACACATGAAATAATAGGTTACTAAATTCACATTAAAAATGTACACATTTGTAATGATATTTGCTCGTTGACATGTAAATACAAGTTGTATTATATAATTGCAAGATTACATCTTAATATACTTTACCGAAAATGTTGTAGTTTTTTCCTTTGGTTGTTTAGTTTGTTAAATATAAAGCTCACCTTTGTGACACACTCATGTGCTTCTTAGGAGCACACGCACGCACGCACGCGCGCACACACACACACACACACACACACACACACACACACACACACACTCGTCGACATCGCAGTGACGCGCAATGGTTCGCAGAGCCTCGGGTCCTCCCTCCCGCTTTGCACATGATCCGTAATCTCGCGCAGAGGAGAGAGCCAGGAATGCGCAGAGGAGCGACACCAACGAGGACGGAGCGAATCCACGCTGCCTCCAAGATGCGTTTGTTTTACACCGCGATCATCTGGGCGACATTAGTCCGCTGCACAGCTGGAATCCCCTGGACCCAGCAAAAGGTAATTACATCTGGCTCTGGTCACGTTTTGTCGTCTTAACATGTTACCAGGCAAGCATAGCTGCACATAGAAAAAACCGTCTCCAAAAACTTAACATCTCTCCAAAATATGTCCCTTTAAAGTGTCAATCTTATTTTGAGAGAGGGAAAAATGCGAGTTCCCAAGCACAGTTGTGACATGTATAACCTTTTTATACACGATATCCCTCAACCCTCAGCACTGTTTCCCAACACTGTTGTGTAATTCTCCTGAGGCGCACCTGGGCATGCCTGGCCATTCAAATCCCTCATTTATGTGCCTCTTCTCCTCTCCTTCTTGCCGGGTTGCTATGGCAGCACAGTCATCATCATTGATCCTCCAATTGCAGGTCTTGGTATATATATAGACCTTAAGTGGACCCCTTTTAACCCTCTCTGAACCCAGCGAGTCCCAGCGCTTCGGATGACTTTGTACAGTCTGCGTGACCAAATAATGACATGTTTTGCATCGCATGCTACTCTGTAATGACAGACGGTCAGAAGGGCCCAACGTGTTTTTTAAGTGAAGGCTGTGTGCTTGAATTGTAATGAACAGAGTTAAGGATGTGCCCTCCCCTACTCTCTCAGAGAGTCTAACAAAACCAAATTAGGAGAAAAAACAAGTGTCCACTTTGATTTCCCATAAAAAATTAATAAATGATAATATTTAAATCCAAATTGATTATCCAAATAAGGTAGTACGGTTTCAACAACCGCAATAAATCACAACTACCAATTAAGGACCACTAAGAGGTCATTAGAGAGGCTGGAGCTGTGCAGAACACACGCTTCGACTGTGCTCTGATATTCTTCCTCGGCTCTGTCCTCTTCGTCGGGTCAGTTGGTTGCCAGGACAACCATGGCGCTCAGCAGGTGAACTTTGAGACCATACAGGAAAAAAGATCCATCGGATAGAAGAATCAATATGTTTGTTCTAAACGATGGCTGTAATTTAGCACCCCAAGGATGAATACCCGAATCCCAAACCGCATTGTGTCCCTCATATCCCATCACCCGGTTGATTTTTTTTAGCAATGGAGAGCGCATTGATAAACACCTCTACTTTCATGCTTCTGCGTTCAATAGATCCCTCCTTTTCTGAAGCAGCTCCTTCAAACACACGTTTGAAGAAAATCAATGTCTATTCACACCGGTCTAATTGGCTCTATTGTCTCTGCCTGAGGAGGCGTTAGAGCGAACTTCCCACCCCATGTGAACACCAAGGATTTATAGAAGCTTACCACAAGATCTCTTTTATGTTCCTTTATGTTAATATTAGGATCTCAAAGATCTGGCTTTGGAGGCTCTTTTGAGTTTGTGAGTTTATGGATCTCACTCAGCAGAAATCTAATTCCCACATCTGCAGGGCTGACATCAGCATTCAGTAAGAGAAATTGATCGAACAGACATTAATTGACATGGAACTCTGAGATTTATATTCTTTCAACATGTATGGTTTTATTTATGGTGGATGTGGTGGATGTAGATGACTTGTCGTTTCTCCTCAGGTGTCCACGGCAGTTTGAATACTGGCATGAAACGAATCCACTGTCGGCACGACGGTGTTGTTTCTAGAAACACGAGAGAGTGTTGTGACACACTAAAATCAATCAATCTGTATGTTGTGTCATCCACACCGCTGCTCTATGAAAAGCCTCGTAGAAAGACTCTTCCTCACCCGATCTTTTCCTCCGGCTCCGCTCAGCACCATCACCGAGCTGTGACTCTGACACAAGACGAGATCCGCGCCGGTCTGTCCCACACCGACCTGGAGACTATGTGGCAGAGGGACCTGAGGCCGCTGCTGGTCACCAGGTACCCAGGCTCTGCGGGCAGTCAGGCCGTGCAGGAGGTGAGCTTACAGTACTCCCAGGACGACGTAACCGGATCCGCTTCCAAACACACCAGACATCTAACACACATAATTGCCCATAAAGGAATTTTTCTTTCTGAAAAACGATGATTGCTCTTTACGAGTCATATTTTTTTTTTTGGTTAATTCACAGCATATCAAAACCACCCTGCGTTCCCTCGGAGCGGGCTGGGAGGTGACGGAGGACACGTTTGTGTCGGAAACGCCTTACGGCCAGCTGCCTTTCGCCAACATAGTCGCCACCCTCAACTCGACGGCCCACCGGCGCCTGGTCCTCGCCTGTCACTACGACTCCAAGTACTACCCACCGCAGTGGCACGGGAGGGAGTTCCAAGGCGCCACGGACTCGGCCGTTCCCTGCGCCATGATGCTGGAGCTGGCGCGCGCGCTGGATGAGGAACTGAAAGCTCACAAGGTGGTGGCCCTCGCAAGTTAAAGCTGCACTATACAACAGGTTAAAGGGCATACGATGCATTGCTGGACACACGCCTCCCGTAGGTGCCTCTGTGTGTGCGTTCAATTGTGTTATTCGGGGGTTGGTGAATCAGTTTGTGGCCGTGAATCACAGGCGATGTGATTCAACAGCAACAACAGCAACGGCCCAATAGGCTCAGGGGAAAAAAACGAGGCCAAACCTGCAGCAGACTGTTCCAGGAACAGGTCAAACGTCACTGGAGAGTTTCCTCATGACAGTCAAACAAGAGATACTACACAAACAACTACACGAAGGGAAAAGGTGGTGCTAACGACATGTTTCCAAATCGAATTTAAAGCATGAGGCTGGTGTCATCTGTATTTGACCTTATCTTCCCTGTCTGTGGCTCTCTGAAGATGCACGTCTTTAAAATCTAGTCATAAATGGACAGTTTAATTTTTTGTCTTTGAATGTAATTTCTTAAAACAGCCGCACACTTTAAATAACTATTGAGCTCCAGATTAAGACATTTTTTGTGATTTGTCCACAGTAACAAAGTAGTGGACTTTTCACAGTTGTTGTCATATCATAAGAAAAGGAGAGAAGAGGTTTATGTTTTGCTAACAAAATTAAGGAGCTTCTTTTAAACTTTTTTTTAATTGGATATAAATAAAGACACACCTCTTCAGACTATATCTTGACTAAAAGACACAAAACAAATTGTAGCTTTAATTGTACTTATAATGGCTCTTATCTATAGCAAGTTGTAAATCGGCTTGTTTGATGGTTTTGCTGTATTCGTATCCTTATGGTGGAAAAGCACCAGCTAAATGACATTTAATGTAATGTAACCTATTGACACCTAACAAACCTTTCTAATACACAACATTATAGGAAAAAACAACATGTTGCAATAACTATTTGTTTGCCCCAAAATGCTGTGATTTACAAGGAACACACTTAGTATTCATCTAACGATCTCCTCTGCCCTGCCTGTGGGACAGTGACAGGTCCTGTGACAGGGAGACATGAGGTCACAGAGGTCTTGGTGGAAATCCCAAGGGGGGTGATAAAAAAATAAAAAAAGAATCATCAGGCTGTTTCTGTCAAAACCACTGGAGGGCGGGCGAAACTCTGCAAATGCCTTGACTGTGTCTTTTTACCCCCCTCCCCCATTCAGAGCACCAGTTCTGACCTGACCCTGCAGTTGCTTTTCTTCGATGGAGAGGAGGCTCTTTTCCAGTGGACCTCCACAGACTCCCTCTATGGCTCGCGTCACCTGGCCGAGAAGATGGAGATCACCCCGCATCCCGCCGGAGCCACGGACACGAACCAACTGCACGCCATCGTACGCTCGTCGTTAGCGCGCTTTCTTTTCAGTACAGTCTGTCTAGGCCCGGCCTCCTGTTCCCTCGGACAGTTCGGGGGAAAATCACAAAGACGCACATTTTATCATGCGGGAGGCGTCTGTGTCATGATGTGTCACATAATTTATTATAGTCTATAATAACAACACATAAGCGTTTCTGTATCCAAACCCCAGAGAGGTACTCAGACTATCTATTGAGACATTCTTGTGTGGACAGACTGAGATCAACTGTGTGTGTGTGTGTGTGTGTGTGTGTGTTAGTGAATGCATGCAGACAGACGGTCAGGTGTGATTAGTTTGTCCTGCACCGATGGCACGCAGCATTGATGTCAGCGTGTTGCCTCTGAGGTCTGATGATTATGGGACCTGGCTTCCTGTCTGTACTTATCTTCAGGATGTGTGGAGAGAGTTTCTCATGGGAGCTCACTGACATCGCACTCTCCCCCCCTCCTCTCTCCCCCTCCTCCCCCCCCGCTCCTCTCCATTTCTTCTCCTCCAGGACCTGTTTGTGTTGTTGGATCTGATCGGGGGCGCCGGCCCGCGCTTCTACAACCAGTTCCCCAGCACGGCGCACTGGCTCTCCAGACTGCAGAGCATTGGTGAATGAGCAAAAACACACTAGGTTTCTTTACTTTACTTCAGAATTGGTTTTTTTTTTTACTTTTAAAAATATAATGGACTTTGCTGGGGATGTCACACACTTCTGTGGACCAATCAGATTTTTCATTATGAGACAGTTGTGCGGTGTGTTCATACCCACACGGTCCTGATGAAGCAAATTGGTGAATTATTTATTCAATGAAACTCCGTCTATGGTTTAATGTTGTTGTTTTTTTTGTTTGTAAGTTTTTTTTATTTCTGTCTGTTACTTCTGTCCTCCCTCTTACAACTACAGAGACGCGTTTACACTCCATGAACCAGCTCGTGGATCATCCTGACAACGTGCACTATTTCTGGCCAAATCAACCCGTTGGCCACATACAGGACGATCACATACCCTTCCTGAGCCGAGGTATACCCGCCAAATAACCGAACTAGCGTCGATATGATTACGTACGTTGTGTTAGCTGTGTTCGCTGACCCCCATTCTGTGTTTCTCCGTCAGGTGTTCCCGTCCTCCACCTCATCCCCTCCCCCTTCCCGTCGGTGTGGCACACGTTTGATGACAACGAGCAGAACCTGGATCGCTCCACCATTCAGAACCTCAACAAGATCATGCAGCTTTTTGTCCTGGAGTACCTCAACGCCAAACCCGCCGTCCCTTCAAACCCACAGAATGCCCCGTGAGAAAGAAAAAACAAAAAACAAAGGGCACAGTGATTTGCCAATTTTGATGTTTTAGTGTTATAGAGATGTTAACCTGTTCCACAGACTGAAATAACAGACATTATTTCATTTAAACAACAAGAAAATGTAATACTGACAATTAACTCAACGCTGCACATCAAATCGGTGCAGCTGCATAATAGATATAGATTTAAAAAAAATTATTTTGAGGTCTTTATCTAATGATATTGTTGCTAATGTGCTTAGATCGGGCAACATTAAATGTATTTTCTTCCAAAACGGGTTTGCGGAAGACTTTGAGACTGTAGCTTAATCATCTCTTCAAGTCCCCAGCAACAACATCAACACACAGGGCCTTCTGTGTGCGTCTCTTATCCACACTGCTCCCTTTATATCGGCCTGAAGCGCTCCTTCACTCCGTGATGAGGCCTCCTAGCGTCGATGCCGAAAAAGAAAGAAAGGGAAAGGGAGCAGTGCGGGCGTGAAGCAAAGTAGTCTTTCTGGACGGGTGTCCTCTCTGTGGTGAAACTGTTTTGGAGCAAACTTGTCAGAGGCAGGAAGTGGGTTCATCTTTAAGCCCCCCAATATCCGTTCCTCTTTTGTTTACGTGGGATTATTAGCCCCATCTAAATGTAGATCCTAGAATAATATACACTGCCGAAACTGAACTGAATTCTGAGGCTGAAATAAACGTTGTTTCAGAATACAAGCCAGATCGTGCAGAGTTTGCGTATCTTTCAAAGTCTTTGTTGTGCTGTTTTTGGAGCTGTGAATAACAAAGTTGCTCTGATGCGTGTTTTTCTTTTGCGATTCTCCATTCTGACCTTTAGCGCAAGGAAGTTGCGGCTATTTTTGTAATGCACATCTAAAAAAAAACTACCAAAACCGATCTTCCTGTTTCCCAGGATCCGTCAGCAGACCAAGCACCTCTGCTCCATCCCTCCGCCTCACCTCCACAACAATCCCATGACTCACTTAATCCTATCAGGGAGGACTACACCACCCGGATCCCCTGCTAACCAGCCCACTCCCATGAGAACTGACCATGAGAAATGTTTGGGCCGCCTGGCAACGGTGTACACAAACAAACTTTAAATCTTGAGAAGAAGATAAAACGTCCAAGAGGGTCATTAGGCACTAAAAGCTGCAATTTGTTGTATAGTTTCTGCCCAAACTATAGAAAGAGGCTTTTGCATTAACGTGCAAAACAGGTGGTGCAACTGGTGCTTCAATAGAGATATCTTCTGTTTTCCTCTCAACGTGTGTTACTCATGCTCACCGTCGCTTCTTAAACTAAACTAAAAGTTTACCACAGGCAAGCTACCATGCCGGAGAATACCAAAATTACTACGTTAACCTACAGTCGAGCAAATATATCTATTTAACTTGATTCTGAAGAAAGAAGTCGCGTTCAAAATACGTCTCGACAGAAACTAAACCTCCAAATTGATAACGCGCCCTGGTAATCACAGCCAAGGTTGAATCTGAAGCCGATTGCAGAAGAGTATACAACAGCTGCCAGCTGTTAAGTAATGGAATGACAGGAAGGGCCGGTACCCTCACAGGGGTCTCGGATTGTTAAAAAACAATGAGCCAGGGGAGGTTACTGAACGTCATAGACTAGTAAAACTTTGCAATCGCCTTTTAAGGAACCCAAATAGTGATGATTGTCTCAAGAGAGATTACAGATAAATTGAAAATCTTAAACATTATAAAGCATAATGATATGCTTTATAATCTTTTGCTACCTGTAGCTGTTTCTTCGCGACTTGTAAAGTGGACAGTCACCAACAGAGAGCAGCGCTGAGCCACTTTCAGGCTAGTGGAAAGTTCTGTTTTTGTTCCTGCATGAGATTGTATTTTATAGACTGCAAATCAGATTAAAAGTAAAACAGGTAATGAAAGAATGATGACGTAATATCAAATCAAGTGGGGGTTACTGATATGGCTGATATCAGTATCACTGATAAGTTTAAGGCACTTTGATATAAAGCTTTGTTTTTAACAATATTATATTATTAATATTGCTATGTTCACAGACTCAAAGTAGGACGTGTAACATCTAAATATTAACTGTGCAGCACGCTGTTTTATATTTGGTCTGCACACCTCCAGTTTCAAATGAGGGCGGTAAAAAGACACCTACGACGGTCATCATACGCTGCGTTCAGGTTCTCTCCGAAAAGTCTCGCCGCTTTTCAGAACTGGTATTGAGTGTTAGAAAAGAGAATAGAAATAACTACAAAAATGGCCATTATACAGTGATAAAATAGAGAAATACAAAACATCAATTGTGATTTTACGACACGATACGAGACTTGTTACAGCTGCCTCATCCCGAGGCCCCGCGCGGGGGTTTCATTCTAGACCCTGATGGTGCGTTGTCGCGGTTTTTCCCGGGAGCATTTGAACGCAACATTGATCCCCAGCGCCGGGCGGTGAGGAGCTGCGTGGGATTCCAGTCCAGCCTCCACTCACGCGTGTACACAGTTGCTTTTTTTTTTAGTGGTTGAACACAAACAGACGAACGACACCGACCTGTTGAGAATGTGACAGCATTTTTATTTTTTAATTTAAATCGTAGAAACCTCGTCGCCAAACTTTGGCGCATTCTCGCGTGCCTCTGTGTCCGTGTGAAAGAAGCCATGGAGCCGATAACAAAGTGGACGCAGAAGCAAGTCATCGACTGGATGAGAGGTAAGTCAGAAACACTGTGATACGTTAAAAAAAAGACTTAAAGTTTTGTAAAGTTCAACAACAAACAAACATTTATGTGAATACAGCTTAAAAAAAACTCAATTCATACGAGTCGCTTGTCGCTTATCACGAGGTAGTTTCGTAGAAACTGCGACAGTGTGACAACATACCTCCGCCGACAACAACGGCTCTGCCTTTTCCTTTTACCCCTACAGATGTTGCCCAGTTGACACATTCAACTCGTGCTGCCCTTCAGCTCTTCGCAATCCTTTTATGTGCATCGTGTGTGTGTGTGTGCGCGCGCACAGCAAAGCTCTGACTTCCAGCAATGATATCGAAGATAAAGAAATATTTCTGTCTCCAAATGGTTTCTGTCACATGAACCCTGAAGTCAGTGACGTTAAAGCCTCAGACCACAGAGACTTATTGCGCCCCTCTTTTCTAAAAGCAGTTTCAGCAGTAGGGACTAAATCCAGGGAACACGGTCACATCCTTGTGCCCTCGCCTCCTCTTACTCATACTGTCTTTAATTAAGTAATACCGGTGCGTAACTATTTAAAAAAAAAAGTTGACCTCTGAAGAAGTCTTGCTTCATCACCAGTTTCGGATGCTCAGAAGAATGCTCGCGTATGACGTCAGCGCTGTTTGGAGTTCAGAGTCACAGCGCAGGTATGTCTAGTGAGAGACACCCAAAGCTATGTGAGGTATGGATGCTTCAGAGGGCGTGATGGTTCCCGAACCCATTCAACTCAAGAGTGTGTGCAGTGGGGAGCAGTGGGCCGTTTATCTTTGTCTTCGCTTACTCCACGGGGACATTTGGAAACGTCCCAAAACAAAATCCTCGGTGACTTCCTTCTTGTTGTTGTGATGCAGTCTCTGCGGATCGAGTCATGCCTGCCAGCGCTCATCTGTAGTTGGGAGCTAAAGGCGATTGTGGGGAGGGAGAGTGTCAGCGCGACCACTTAAAGGAGTCCGCCCGGGAGGGGGATTCGTTTTTTCCCAACACGGCTCCCCCATAGCTGTCAGTCAGGCTGCATTGCTGTCAGCCTCCCGCATGCATAGCTGACTCGGCAGCTGTGTCTGTAGGTCTTCAACCAGTGGATTTGCAGGTTCCTACAAACACGTTAGACGCGAACAAACTGACAAAGTTCAAAGCTCATGCACCTATTTTGCATTGTGCAACACGGGGGTCCACTTTTTTCCCTCCAGATATAGTAGACTAAATAGGCCAATTAGGTAGTTGTCTCGCTATCTAATCATGGTTGTAACGAGCTGAACTCACTGCCGCTTTTGTTTATACCTTTCCTAACTCAAAAAGCAGGTGACGCAGCCTTGTAAAGTCAACCCCGACATCTAACTTTCCTCGTTGTGGTCTAACAAGGCCAAACAGCCATTTGCTTTGGTTACGGGCGTTGTCTGTGGGTGTAGACTACAATTACTTTGCAAGAAGTAGGATCTGCTTTCAAGCAGTCAGAGCCACAAAACAAATAGAGCATCCAAACCCAAACTCATAATACAGCGCTGCCTGTTGTCGCGACTTAAACCCCCGGCCCTCCCCACCACAGGTCACTTATCGGCCTTAGCGGACCTTTTCAAGACTTCGCTATATCCTGGGGTGAGAATTTGCCACGGTTTAACACAACCGTAATGGTCCATGACAGGGCTGGATTGTCTTCAGGGTCCACAGCACAGAGCCCCAACATCACATGTAAGCAACGCTGGAGACAACTTGTGTCCATCCTTTCATATCTGGCACCAGCAGCATCACACCTGAACTAAATCCATTTTGGGAGCCGGGTCGTGGCCTCACGTCGACCTCTTCACACCAATCGACAACGCGGGTGTTTCCAGAATGAAAGAAGTCCAATTAAAGCTAAAGCTGGAGGGGACCTGTTCCCTCATTCACCCTGGGGGGGGGGGGGGGGGGGGGCCTCCAAAGGACAACAAACTTTTTTTTGTTTGAGGGTGGTTGTAAATCCCTGCAATGTTTCCCGAGAAACACCATGGGTGGCGGGAGTTTATTTGCAGAGAAAAGGGCTTTGGTCCTCTTCTTTTTGAAAAACTTGTTGGGGGTTTTTTTGTTTGGGAACTTGTTTTCCCTGTAGTGCATTCCCTACACCGCAAGCTCTGATTCTCCAGCTGAACGTGTGGTGTCTGTGATAAGTAATCCATGTGTTAAGTGGTGGAAATACTTCCCTTGAGACTTGAAACAGCGCGCCGCGCTCTTCTAATGACCGCATACAAGTCACAGGACGTGTTTTTTTTTATATCCGTAAATGATTAAAATTTGTTGTTTTTTTATGACGTTTTAAAAGGAAAGTGTTTGAGGAACTTTCTGCAGTGAGATTAACACGGTGACCCACATGCAAACGTTCGCCAAGTGAAAGTCGTTTTCCAAATATAGTGCTGAATCCACATGCCAATGGCAGTGCCTCAGCTGAGCTAAACGGCCGCCACCGCTGGGGGAATGTTTAGCCCCAAATAAGAGGAATACTTTCTCTCTTTCTTTCATTTTTGCTTGTAGTTACTAAGTTTAAACAGGGCATTCCAAACATGCAAATCTGTACAACATCTGTCTGAGTGGTGTTTATCCAGTTCCAGACTCTACTGTTTATTACAATCCTGGAAATCCTCCAACAATTTCTATACTTACATCCCGGCTAATGAAATTTCCCAGCAGATGCCGGGTGTATTTTGAGCGAGGAGTCGAACCCTGTTGATCTGGTGCATGGCCCGCATCTATCTCTCAGCCCCTTTCCCGTGCCCGCCTCCCGGGAGCTTATTAGTCATGTGTAGGGTGTGAACGTTACCCATGATTCAGAGTCTGACATAAATGTCCGGACGAAGGAATGAACCTGTGTTCCGTCACCACGTCATAAAGCGTGTTTGATGTCGCGTGTGTGGAATCCTAAAGAGCATCGGTCTGCGCGTTGCCTCTCGAGTTAGCACCAAAGTGCCGAGGAGGCAATTAGCCTGTCAGAGAGGTGGCAAATGGGCCGAGTGGGCCTTTTGTCTTTTGCCCCAGCTTGTGCTTAGGAAAATAGGAGCAGCGAGTCCGGGTACCTTCAGCAGCCTTATCCAAAGAGATGATAGTGAGGTGTGGGCAATGATGACCCGTTATCCTTATCTGGCTAAAACTTCCTAAACCGCAGTGTGAACAGACGCGTTGCAGACGCCGCCTCTCTTCCTGTGCCGTGACTTCCTGTCTACGGGTTGGCCTCCAAAGGCATCATCAATCCGTTTTGGGAACTCGTGCTGTGTGCGTGTGTGTGTGTCTATGCATCAGAGAGGACAGGTGTTCAATTCAATTTATTTTAATCAATTGAGAGTCGATCTTCCTTCGACATCCCGTAGTTAAAGCTCCCGTCTTTGTCATTTACCAGCCATCCAGCCATTCAGCTTTTAAAATTGACCCATTGTGTTCCATTGATGGGCAGATAACCATGTTACCTTTCCATAGAAAACGGCCTTCAGAGTTCAGGGGAAGTGCTGTAAGAGGATTCCCCCTGGGGAGAGGAGACTGAAAGGGACTGCCGTGGTTTTCGTTCCTGTCAGCCCCCGCGGCCCGTTTCTCACATGGCCTGGTGTGGCAGCCTTAGGCTCAGGAGGAGCTCAACCATATGGGGGCCTTTTAGAGATATCGTCAATAGTTAATGTGGCTGTTCTAATCTCTCGATGAGGACACAGAGATGATGTCTTTAACAAATCTAAAGGTTTACGAACGCCGATTGAAAGCCGTCCTTTGAGGCAGCGCATTCATGTTGCCTTTGGTAACGATCACTTGTGTGTACAGCACTTTACTGAAGTAATGTATTTGATTTATTTTTTTATCATCTCATCTATTTTTATAGCAGTATCTATTTGCATTCACATCCAACAGATCTTCGCTCAGTACGAGGAAAGGAGACATCGCGTCCTGTGCCTGCCAACCTGGTTTAGACCAGTTTGCTTGTCTATTCAAATCTGTAATGTGCATTGCAAATCTCTCCGATGATCTCTGCTTAGCCGGACCTGCAAGCTACTTGGCCTTGCTCTTCCCTGAGAGCATTGCCCCGAGAAAGTGCCACGCTTAAGCCCTAGGAATGAAAGCTACAACCTGAGGTGGCGCGGCGGGTGCCAGGGCAAATACGCGCCACATGCCGAGCGACCTCTCGCGCAGCGGTGACTCACCGGTTGGTTGCGTGTCACGAGGGTCACCCTCACAGCCATGTGATTTAGGTTTGTATTGCATACGTCAAAATCTCCTCTCGCCATCGCACCGGATCTGATCCGCTTCGGTGATCTGGACTCCGCTATAGAGGAGCAAAGGGGAAGCCAAGGGCCGTGTTGGTATTGCTATCAAAGCGCCGCTGAGGCAGTTATGCTCGAATGACCACAGGACATGAGAGGAATGCAGGGCCACCCGCCCAACCGAACCAAACCAAACCAGCGGCTCTGCGACCGAGCAGTCAAAACAGGTCCCACATGTCCTTGCTTCCATTTGGGGACACCAGTTGCTTTTAACGGATTTAAAACGCAGAACTCAGTCCAGTGGACGCCCTCCACCCTCCCCTTCGGTTTACCAAATACAGACAAAGCCCACCAGCTTACACTGTAATGGAGTGTAACGTCATTACGATTATGAAGTGATGTGTGGCTTTATGAACTGTTACCCATTTTCGGGTTGAGCCGAGCTCTTGGCTGGATGCCAGATTGTGGCTTCTATGGAACATGTTCAGACAGGTCCATGTTCTCCCTGCGCGGCGGCTGACTGAATTCCTGTCTAGTTGTCCCCGCAGTCACTACAGTCGTACACGGTTATCCTTAAAGAAGATCTCCTGGCTTGGGTTTCGCACACGGTGTTCGTCCATGCGTCATTACATTGTGTTGGAATGAGACTAGCTTAGCATGTTCTGGTAGACTGTGCTCGTGTTCCCTTCGTGCATTGGAGGCTGCTGCCGGATAAGGCAGCTGTAATGGGTTAGTTAGCCTGTGTTTACATCGCCGGTGCATTGACGAGG